GCGCTGGGCTGGGCTGTGCTGGGGTGGGGAGAGCGCCGTGTCCTCTGTACTCGTGGAATGGGGAAGCTGGGGCGTGTTTGGGGCCGTGGTTGCTGTGCTGCGGGGGGAGAGTGCCGTGTCCTCTGTGCTCGTGGAACGGGGGAGCTGGGGTGGGTTGGACTGTGGAGGGGGAGAGCGCCGTGTCTTCTGTGCTCATGGAACGGGGGAGCTGGGATGTGTTTGGGGCCACACTATGCTGGGCTGGGGGGAAGAGTGCCGTGTCCTCTGTCCTTGTGGAACGGGGGGCTGGGGGGTGTTGGACTGTGGGGGGGAGAGCGCCGTGTCCTCTGTGCTCGTGAAATGAGGCAGCTGGGGGGTGTTTGGCTGCACTGTGCTGGGCTGGGGGGGAGAGCGCCGTGTCCTCTGTGTTCGTGGAACAGGAAGCTGGGCAGTGTCTGGGGCTGCAGGGGAGGGACAGCGCCGTGTCCTCTGTGCTTATGGAATGGAGGAGCTGGGGGGTGTTTGACTGCGCTGTGCTGTGCTGGGGTGGGGAGAGCGCCGTGTCCTCTGTGATTGTGGAATGGGGGAGCTGGGGCGTGTTTGGGGCCGCGCTGTGCTGTGCTGTGGGGAGGAGAGCGCCGTGTCCTCTGTGCTCATAGAATGGGGGAGCTGGGCAGTGTCTGGGGCTGTGGGGGGGACAGCGCCGTGTCCTCTGTGCTCGTGGAACGGGAGAGCTTAGCGTGGGGCCGTGTGTGCTGGGCTGGGGGTCTCAGGCTGGCCTTGTGAGTAATCCCAAAGCATTCCAGGGCTCAGCGATGGAGCATGTGCCTTTTCTATTTGCAGATGCTGCCCAGCTCACCTTTGGAAAGAGAGGAGAATTGGAGGCGAGTCGGGACGGTGGCAGGAGGAGCAGGGGTGCACTGAGCTTTCCAAAATGCCACGTACCTTTGTCCGTCGCTCACCTGGGTATCCCGTGCGATGCCAGCCGCAGCCTCCGGCATCGGCAGAGGTGGCAGGACTCCGTCTGGAGCCGGCGAGCCGAGGGCCTCGGTGCAGCTGGGAGAGTGTGAGTATGGGAATTGTTGGGGTTCGGCTGAGCTGCTGCAAAGCTCCTGAAGTGATTGTGGTTTTTTTTCTCGTAGCTGACAAGGAGAATAAGCCAGCGTCTGCAGGAACTCTGAGGTAGCCGAGACGACCTTCCTTTGCATTGAAGAAGGATTCGCACCCCCCCAGCTGTCATAAAGATAAGTGGAGGGCTGCGACCTGGAGAGGGGGAGCTGGGACGTGTTTGACTGTGCTGGGCTGGGCTGGGGTGGGGAGAGCGCCGTGTCCTCTGTACTCGTAGAATGGGGAAGCTGGGCGTGTTTGGGGCCGTGGTTGCTGTGCTGGGGGGAGAGCGCCATGTCCTCTGTACTTGTGGAACGGCGGAGCTTGGAGGTGTTTGGCTGCGCTGTGCTGGGGAGGGGGAGAGCGCCATGTCCTCTGTACTTGTGGAACGGCGGAGCTTGGAGGTGTTTGGCTGCGTTGTGCTGGGGGGGGGGAGAGCGCCGTGTCCTCTGTGCTCGTGGAATGGGGAGAGCGCCGTGTCCTCTGTGCTTGTGGAACGGGGAGCTGGGCAGTGTCTGGGGCTGTGGGGGTGACAGCGCCGTGTCCTCTGTGCTTATGGAATGGGGGAGCGGGAGGGTGTTTGGCTGCGCTGTGCTATGCTGGGGTGGGGAGAGCGCCGTGTCCTCTGTGATTGTGAAATGGGGGAGCTGGGGCGTGTTTGGGGCCGCGCTGTGCTGTGGGGAGGAGAGCGCCGTGTGCTCTGTGCTCATAGAATGGGGGAGCTGGGCAGTGTCTGGGGCTGTGGGGGAGACAGCGCCGTGTCCTCTGTGCTCATGGAATGGGGAGCTGAGTGTGGGGCTGTGCCATGCTGGGCTGGGGGGAGAGTGCCGTGTCCTCTGTGCTCGTGGAATGGGAGAGCTGGGCGGTGTCTGGGGCTGCGCTGTGCTGGGCTGCGGAGCGGGGGAGAGGGCCGTGTCCTCTGTGCTTGTGGAAAGGGCAGCTGGGGGGTGTTGGACTGTGGGGGGGACAGCGCTGTGTCCTCTGCGCTCGTGGAACATGGGAGCTGGGGGGTGTTTGGCTGCGCTGTGCTGGGCTGGGGGGACAGCACCGCATCCTCTGTGCTCGTAGAACAGGGGAGCTGGGCAGTGTCTGGGGCTGTGGGGGGGACAGCGCCGTGTCCTCTGTACTCGCGGAACGGGGGAACTGGGGGGTGTTTGGCTGTGCCGGGCTGGGCTGGGGTGGGGAGAGCGCTGTGTCCTCTGTGCTTGTGGAATGGGGGAGCTGGGGCGTGTTTGGGGCTGTGCTGTGCTGGGATGAGAGCGCCGT